AGATCAAAATGGAATTGATAGAAACTGCAAAACACAGCTTTTACAGCATACCTCTAACAAGGGCGATCTTGGAAAAGCCCTCGATAAACCTGCGGTAATATCCAGCTAGACGAGAAAACTGCGAACCTCGGACGGACTCCTCGGTGTCGACCAGTTCTGAACTGCTGAGACCTTGGAAGGATCCACCTCGATACCTGCCTGAGTAATCACATGACCCAGAAAGGATACTCGCTGGAGCCAGAACTCGCATTTGGAAAATTTTGCAAACAACTTTTCTCGTCTGAGGGTTTCGAGAACCACCCTCAGATGCTCCTCGTGCTCCTTCTGGCTCTTTGAGTAGATAAGAATATCGTCAATAAAGACAATAACAAACTGATCGAGGTAGGGATAGAAGATACGATTCATGAGGTCCATGAAAACTGCTGGCGCATTACTGAGACCGAATGGCATGACGACGAACTCGTAATGGCCGTAACGAGTCCTGAAAGAGGTCTTAGCGATATCTGACTCCTTAATCTTCAGCTGGTGGTAGCCTGATCATAAATCAATCTTTGGAAACACACAAACTCCCCTCAACTGATCAAATAAGTCGTCGATCCTGGGAAGTGGATACTTATTCTTGATCGTCAACCGGTTAAGATCCCGGTAGTCGATACACATGCGCATGGATCCGTCCTTCTACTTAACAAAGAGAACGGGTGCTCCCCAAGGTGACACGCTCGGTCGGATGAAACCGAGTCGTAATAGCTCCTGAATCTGAGTCTTAAGCTCCTGCAACTCCTTTGGCACCTTACGATATGGGGCTTTGGATACTGGACCGGCTCCTGGAATGAGATCGATAGAGAACTCCACCTGCCGGTTAGGCGGTCCTCCTGGAAGCTAGTCTGGGAATACGTCCACAAACTCACGAACAACTGGAACATCGTGAGGTGATCGTGCTTTTTGAGAATCGTCGACAAGGCTCACCAGATAACCCTGGCATTTGCCTCGTCACAACAACTTAGTGGCTTTTGCCATCGAAACAACATGAGGCAATGAACAATTCCTGGAGCCAAAGAAAGTGATCGACTCGTCTCCCGGAAGATAAAGAGTAATCTCCCGGTCATGACATCTGATATCTGCATGATAAAAGGATAGCCAATCCATTCCGAGAATAAGGTCGAAGTCCCTCATCTGGAGAACAAACGCGTCGGTAGACAATACTCGACCACCGATGAAAAGGCTAATATCTGAAGCTTTAGCTGAAGTCACTATCTTTCGTCCCGAGGCTAAACTCACCACGAGAGGATCGACAGTGGTAACGGCATGAACTCCGATGGCATCAAGACATCGTCGTGAAATGAAAGAATGTGTCGCTCCAGTATCGAACGAAATAAACACAGGAACATTATTAAGAACAACCATCCCTGACAAAGTACATGGCTGCTGCTCGGCCTCTGCCTGATCGACTGCATAAACTCGGGCCTGCTGTCTGCCCCTCTGCTGCTGCTGCTGAGGCGGCCTCTGTGCCTGCTGACGGGGCTGCTGCTGCTGCAGTGGCTGCTGAGGCTGCTGCGCCTTCTTCGGACAACGGTTCGCGTAGTGTCCGGCCTCGTGACAGTAGTAGCATACATCCTGACCAAAGCGACACTCGCCTCGGTGAAGTCATGTCGGTCACTGTGGGATCTGCTGTAGCCTCCGTCGGGTCCTCTTATCCGTTGGGGCACCTTTACCCTTCCTCTTGTTGTTCTTATATGGCTGGGCAGTTGGTAGAGCTGGCATCGGTGGAACTGAAGATGACTGAGCAGGGGCGGATGGCTGAGAATGATCACGGACGGCCTCCCTCCTGATGCTGGCGTCTACCTCCTGAGCAATCGAAACTGCACGAGCGTACGTCTGTGTCCCGTGGCCTACGATGTTATGACGGACTGCTGGGTAAAGCCCGTCAATGAAACGCTGTGCTCTCTGGGCCTTCGTGCGAACCAAATCAGGAACGAAAGCTGCAAGTCTAGTGAACTCCCTCTCATACTCGTCAACAGTAAGAGTACCCTGCTGGAGCGATAGAAACTGACGCTCCATCTCTGCTCGGTAGTAGGTGGGGTAGTACTTCTCACGGATTAGCTCCTTGAGCATCTCCCACGTACATCCCGCCTTCTCGCCGGGACGCATACTCCAGTAGGCATTCCACCAGAGCCGAGCATCACCGGTGAGCTGAAGCTGAGCGCAAATTACGCGATATCTATCAGGGAAATCCATGAACTCGAAGATAAACTCCAAGCCCTGAATCCATTCGTCTACGATGCGAGGATCTCCCTGCCCTGAGAATTTCTCGGCATGATAGTCGCGGAACTGTGCGACTACTGTGGCCTGAGTAGGAGCCGGATAATCGGGTTCCCTACGGGGCGACATCTGAACATGGGAAAAGTTCAAAATTATTGAACACGTGATAAAATTCTTACTGATTACTAAGGCACACAAATCTCTTGACGAGTCGCCAAAAATGGCCGATAAATACTGACGTGAATCCTGAGGAAATCTAGAGTCATATCAAAAGATACTAAATTCTGGAGTCATGTCGTAGTATACTGATCTCTAAAGTCATGTCTGAATATACTGAATTCTAGAGTTATATTTTACTCTAAAGTCTGAATCTGATTCGAGCATCTTAACTAAGTCTGATTACTGATTTCTGAGCATAGACAAAGTAATATGTTTATAACTGAAAACTGAATCAGCACTTACCTGGAGTCGGCGAGGCGTGAGCGTGACGGTTCAGGTTTTTCTGAAAATTACTGACTGAAAAACTTTTCAGAGACGCAGAAACGTGCTCTGATACCAATTGTAACATCCCGACTTTTTACTGAAATTAGAGTACGCATTTTTTCGCAAATTTTTTGAATAAATAAATAAAATATTTATTTTGCGAAAACTAATTCGGGATGTTACCGTGAAAAACTTGATTTTTCTGAAAACCGTTAAAATTTTAACTGATAAATAAAAACGGTTATAATGTCTTAACCGACTAACGTCGGAACAAAAGCTGAAAAATAAGTACTGATAGTTTTAACGGAAATAACTGCGTGGAAAAACATATATACATATATTTCTCTTCCTAAAATGCGTGGGGGCGTGAGCACTAAAACACTTGTGCTCCGCAGAAACTCATACTAATGTAAACATTGAAAATAATAAAAATATCATGATCTTAGCATATATAATTGAACTGAATCTGAAACTGAAACTGATATCTGATACCGGTCTGATCTCGCGACATAAGTCACGTAACTGATAACTGAACATCTGTCGGCACAAACTAATACCGAAATCTGCCGGCACAAACTAATACCGGACCATGTGCACACTCTAGTGGGTAGATTAGGCCACTTGAACCCAGAATGGACCGGCGACCATTCCGAGCGGATACTGAATATACTTACCTCAAATATGGTAGCGATATTATAATCAATGTAGTACTTAGTCTGAGTCCCCACCTGAACTGCTGAAACTGAAACTGAAGGTAGTGCTGATGCCTGATCAAACTGAAAATAATATAAACAATTACAACTGACTATGCTCAGACTGATAATTTAACTGATTAATTATGTTAAGATGCTCTACTGAACCTGACATGATATTTGGACTTAATCGGTATAACTGAAACCAGT